GTAATCAGCTATGTTGTTGTCTACTGCCAGTCCCATACCTGGACAAAGAAAAATCTTTTTAATTATCCGTATTATTCCTAGCATTTGTTCTTTAAAGTGGTTGTAGACCCTTACATATACCCAGTGAAGTGACTTGCCTTAGATGATACAGAGAGATGAAAACAACCCTCCTACATACGTTGTACCGTCTGTCTTTAGCCCTCTCTTCTCTACATCCATTCAAAATGCTGAATTTATAAGGCTTGTCCTAGAGTTCATAAAAAAGTGGGTGGTGAACTGAAATTACACTCTGCAGAGCTCAGTGAGGAGAGCTCTGAGAGCTGATTGGAGGGAAGAGACACACCCCCTTCACACAGGAATAGAGCTGAGGCTGACAATCTGCTGGAGGCCCCTCCCATTTTCCTCTTGGTGTCAGGAAAGCTTGTGAGAAGTGATGCATGCTGATAGCGGAGGAACAAAGCAGCAGACAGAAATGACACTTAGTGCACTTAATAGAGACAAATACAGACTATAGAGGATATGCTTTGGTTATATTTCATGTATGAGGTTTACGACCACTTTAAATATAAATGATCTTAACAGTTAATGTATGTTTATTATTATTAGAGTAAAACCTACCACAAGTAATCCTTGATTTTTAATACATTGAGCACCATTTATTAATTGATCTAAGTAATTAGTGATATTCATATTGAGTTTTCACTCAGAGGTGCTAAGACAACCTGAATAACGTGGGCTTTTTAGTTTTCACCATCAGTCCACTCTAACTTAATACACTTTTAATTATTTATTTAAGAGATCCTTGGGGAACACATTTACCTTGGGGTTACCACATGTACTTATCTTTTTTGCTCAGTGTATTTCAGTTATCATTATCAGTTATCATTTGTGACTCTTCCTATTTTGTTACTGTTAAACCATTCTCAAAAACTATAAAGTTTCTTTAAGTTTCTGTTCCATATCATCATGGTATTGCGTTAGCCATATTTTAACAGTAAATCAGTACTTTTTTTTTTCTTCATTGAATGACTGATGGGTTTGTTGGTTTTGAGTGTAGATTTCCTCAAGCGCATCACATTCCGATTCATCTGCATCAGCAAAGCAGTGTGGGACATCAGCATTGTTTCAGCTTGCAGAGGTAACAACTGTAACATTTATCAGCACCTCCTTAATACTTGGGAAATACGACATATTCTGATTCAGCCTTTCAGGGAAGCTTAGGTATTTTGGATTAACAGACAATGGTATTACATTTCCTTTTATTTGTTTATTTTTTATTTTGGACAAGCATCATTTAGGAAATGTGGAGCATCAGTCCACTAGGCTTACTGTATAAGGGAAAGAACCATACAACACCACCATATTCAAATATGATTACAGCTGTAATGACAGTATCAGATTTGTTTTAGACACATCTTTTTAAAAAATTTTTTAACTATATCTCTACCGTGGTACTTTTATAAATGTCGGATTGGTGGACGGTTACTTATCTACCACTGTTTATAAACACCGCTGTACAAATAACTCCTTGGGCGACCAGTGCACCTGTCAATGGCTGTGAGCAAAGCCATCACTGGATGGCTCTGTTCATAGTCCCAGTGTACCAAGTCAATCTGAGTGGCTCTGACTGTGATAACCAATCAAAGTAATCACATATTACTATTTACATTGATCTTCCTTTTTCTTCCTTTCACAACACAGTAAGGAGAGGAATCATGGTACTTTATTAATGAAAAAGAAATGCATTCATTTTCACTGATTGTGAGATCGTTTGGTTAACCCTTTCTCACCCCCCCCTCCCTTCTAAACATGTAAAATCCATCCTGTCTTTGATTGTGACCTGTATTTTTACCCTTCACTTCCCTTATCCTGCACATCTTTACATTAACATAACCTTTAAAGGATAAGTTCACATTTTGAAACATGTAACATGTTCCAGCAACTGCTGCCTCTCCCACTTCCCCCCTCGAGGAACTTGCCCTCACTGTAACTATTTGAAAAGAACGCGGCCGTGTGGGGCTCCACCTTCACTGCCACGTCATTCATTCACAGTTCTCAGTGAATACACAAACTACAACTACCGCCAGCCTTTGTGGCCGTTTGCTTGTAGTTCTGAATGGACTGCAAAGTCGCTATGAGCGATCTTATAGTTTATTCACAAGCTCTTCAGCTTACAGTCAGCCTGTATACATGTATGGGCTGAAAGCTGCAGGACTTTTCTGAAGGAGTCTGGCATTGCTCCACAGATCACTGGTGCAATGTTTTTCAGTATCCGTAGGGAAAACAAGAATGAATGCACATTTTTTTCCTGCAAAAATATATATGCTTTTATATTTTTTCCCAAAAGGTAAACTTATCCTTTAGTTGTCCGTTCACATATAGGTGGATTGGATATGGTTTGAAATGCATCCAATCCGCATGACATGTGAAATACCATTGCTTCCTATGGTGCCTGCTCACATTTGTCAGGTGCATGGTCGGTCCGGATTCAGTGCAGTTTTAAAAAGAGTCACGTCCAATTTCTGAGTAGTGGCTTCAGGTTCAGGTGTGGATTATTATACAGGATTTATATAGCGGCAACAGTTTGCTCAGCGCTTTACAATATAACGGGAGACAGTACAGCAACAATACAGTTCAATACAAGAGGGTTAGGAGGGCCCTGCTCCTTGGAGCTTACAATCTAGATTACAGGCTATTGATTTCTATGGGAACCGTTCCTAAACCACATATGTGTGAACAGGCTAAGATCCTGGGCTGATCCTGTCCTGAACCTGATGTAAAGCTGACATGAACCGCTGAACTACTGTATCAATTAGCTGTGAAACTTGAGCTTCAATCTGCACCGCATATGTGTGAATCAGCTCTTAATCTCCATGCTCTTGCTTTGTGACCTGTACATTAACTCTTTCAACTTCAAATCCCATTGTGTATGACCTGATTTGCGCTACCTTTTGCACCATTACCAAGCTCCATGTTTTAATCCCCTCAATGCCAGCATGTCTCTTCATTTCCAAAAAAATAGGGCAGAAATTAGATCACCTTGGGGTATCTACTTTCTAAAAAAGGGTAATTTGGGGGCTGTTCCTACTGTTCTGGCTTTTTTGTTTAGCAGAAAGTAAGTGGAACAGGTTTGTAAACACCACCAGCGAGAGCGCTATGTGTCTTTAAAAGTTAAAAAATGCAGTGTACAAGTGTGCATGACAGAGTAATTGTCAGTCAAAATGTCACAACACTGAAAGTCGAAAAATCCTGACCAGGCCATTTTTTGCGTTACGGCGCTGCGTTGCTTTAACTGACAATTGCGTGGTCATGCAACACTGCACCCAAATTAAATTTACATTCTTTTTTTCCCACGAATTGAGCTTTCTTTTGGTGGTATTTGATCGCCTGTGCGGTTTTTATTTTTTGTGCTATAAAAAAAAAAAAGTGCCAATTTTGACAAAAAAAACAATCTTTTTGACTTTTTGCTATTAATCATGTCCAGTAAAAAAAATTAAAAATTCATATTTCATCATCAATTTAGGCCAAAATGTATTCTGCTACACGTCTTTGCTACTAAAAAAAAATCCCAAAGCAGTGTGCACAAGCTGGCAGGGAGGAGAACTGTTTTGTTTACAAAACAGTTCTCCTCCCCGTCGGAGATGCTCTGTAATCACCGGGCACTGGCAAGTAATCACTGGCTGGGACCCAGTGATTGACAGTCGCGGTCGTGAATAGCAGCATGTACATGATTTTGCACTGTAGCAGTAGTTCTGCTTTAGGGCGGTTGGGAAGTGGTTAATCAGAAATCTGTCAAGTATTTATGCCCACATGTATAATATATATATATATATATATATATATATATATATATATATATATATATATATATATATATATATATAAAGAAAGTTGATTTCCAAATACAGTTCCAATGACACTCAACTGGTGTCCTGATTAATGTTTAAATAGCATACACCAATATTTTTTATATCTTGCCACATTTACTAGAGTGAAACACAAAAGAGCTTTCGGAAGACTGCAAGTATTTGCATATCTCGCTTTCAACAAAAGTCCAAAAAAGTTAAAAGGTTTATTCCTCAGGATAATGAACAGAGCCATGCAAATACTTGCTTTTTGTCCCTGAATCAGCGGTGCATTCAGAACCAATAGTACACATACAGCCTAATATTACAGAGCCATTCATTCAAAAGTGCATACAGCAGTTTTAGGCATGTTGGTCATCACTAGTGCACGGTATGGAAAATGTGGCTTCTAGGGTTTGGGGAACGACGTGTTAGTATGACCAGACATGTTATGGTGAAGTCGACTAAAGAGGCCTTCTCTTATCCATTGTGAAGCATTGTAGAGACGTGTTTTGAATTTGATATGTCAACTCTGCTTCACACTGGTTATCCCCTGGTTTACACTATGTGGGTTGGTTGCAAGTGCGGGAATCGCATTTGTTCCTGCACCAGCAATCACCTGCAGCCGAATTGTGATGATCTTATGAGACATGCAGGACTTCCATTGATTCTGAATGGCAGTCCCACACATCTCAGTACACAGCACAATTTCAGGTTGGGGAACTGCAGGGAAACTGCATGGTCAAAAAGACCATGTGGTTTCCCTGCAGATGCGTTTTTAAAAAGATATATGCATAGGCTGCCGTGCCTGAGCTACCGTGGGCCGCATGGCCCACAATATTGTAAACCGAGCCTCAGTGGACAGGTTATTGGTTACTTTTACTCCACCCCACTTTAACCTGTCTTGCTATATTAAAACTTATTTCCAATATTTGTCAGTAATTTAATGTATTATGCATCTCTGGAAACAAAGAATTTTAGTAGTAGCTCAGAAACCTGGAACTGACTTATAAAGGGAAAATAGCGTGACATAGTTTTACAGTTATCTCTGAAATAATATCTTTTAGAATAAGAGCATTGCATATATTCAACAATCTTTGTACTATTAGCTATTTGTATTTATTTCTTCATCTGATGTTGTCCATTTCTTTGTAGATGTGTGTGGCATCAGAAGCAGTGAAAATAGAAAATTCAGGAAATATCACTCCAGAGAAACTGAAAGCTGGGGTGACAGATGAAGGCATGATTTGCAGCAGCCTGAAGGAATGTGCTAATGTATGTCAAGAGGAAAGTTTTAGCGATGCTAAAATTAACAAACATGACTCCCTTCCCCAGAGCATTTGGACATGCATTATGTTGGACTTCTAAAACGGGAAAAAATTAAAAAGAAAAAGAAGAAAAGCAAAACGGACAATGATTCTATTGATAAAGGGTCTCCAAATAAGAGTTGTAAAAGGAGGCAGTCCTCAGAGTCAGATATTGAAAGCGTCATGTACACAATTGAGGCAGTCGCAAAGGGAGACTGGAGTGTTGAAACACCTTCAGTTTCACCATGCAAAAAAGTACGTTCAGCTGCTAGTCCAAAATATAACTTAACTGAATTTAAGCCAACCAAGAAAAAAAGTGAAATCAAAAGAGAAGAAGATAAATGATAAAGCTTTAGAGACTACCAAAGACTTGATGAAACCAGAGCCCATAAATACAATACCTGATGCAGAATCACCTACTGAAGTACCTGAAGAGATAAAGGAAGAACCACTATCTCCTACAGAGGACATGCCTATGTTATACATACCAGAAATGCTCAAAACTGAAGACTGTGACATTAGCAAAAAAGCTGAAGCCTGTGGGTCAAGGAAGTCTGAGAGGGCCTGTAAAGGGGCTCTCTACAAAACACTTGTATCAGAGGGAATGCTGACAACTTTACGAGCTAATGTTGACAGAGGTAAGCAGTAGGTAATGTTTGGCACCAGGCTCCATTCTCTTCAACTTACAGATGCTGGAAATGTACTCTGCATGTGCAGTGTACACAAAGGTGAAAAATTGCTAGCAGGCAGAGTAGAATAAAACTGTACGAGTTTGCCTTTCTTTAATTTAGTTTCACTTTAAGGAAACTGTTGGCAGGGGCATCCCTAGGCAGGTGCAGGGGGTGCGCGCCGCACTGGGTGACACCTTTTGCACGGGGTGACACCAGACCCGCTCCACGGAAAGGTAAGTTTTAATGCAAGCAGACGATCCCCGCAGCATGGATCGGATCTGCGGATTAAGCATAATGGATCGGAATCCAATCCTTTATCGTCCCCAATCAGCAGATCCGATCCATCCTGCGGGGATCATCGGCTTGCAACCTGTACGGGGTTAACAGATCTCTGCACGAGCTCCACGAAAAGGTATGTTTTAAAGCAAGGCGACCATTGGCTTGCTTTAAAATCATCAGGTTCTTAGTCACCTCTCTAAGGCCCTTCTCCCTTGATTGCTCAGTTTGGCTGAGTGATGAGTCTTGGATGAGTCCTGTTTGTGCCACACTTCTTCCAGTAGAGAATTATGGAGGCCATAGTGCTCTTGGGAGCCTTCAATGCAGCAGAAATGTTTTTTGGCAGCCTTCCCCAGATATCTGCCTTGCAGTAATCCTGTCTCTGAGCTCTACAGGCAGTTCCTTTTGATCTCATGGCTTCTGCACTGATACAGTGTGCAATGTAAGCTGAGGTCTTTTATAGAGAGGTGCATGCCTTTCCAAATCATGTCCTATCAATTTAATTTACCACAGGTGGACTTCAGTCAGGGTATAGAAACATCTCAGCAATGATCAAAAAATGGGAGGCACATGAGTGAAATTTCAAGTGTTGTTGTAAAGTGTCTGAATACTTATGTCAATACTTATGTGATATTTCAGTTTTTTATTTTTAATTAACAGATATTTTTGAAATTCTGTTTCACTTTGTCATTATAGGGTACTGAGTGTAGATTAATGAGAAAAAAAAAATTAATTTAAACAACTGTAGTATCAGGCTGCAACATAACAAAATAGAAATAAAGTGAAGGGGGTCTGAATACTGTATGAATGCAGTGTACATGAAACATAGTACCTACTTGACCACAGTGTGTAAAACAATTAGAAGATGAATGCAGATGTAGTTTGGTTACCCTAATATGGACCATGTAGTAAGATTTTATAATTAGATTCTATTGGGATTGTGTTGATAGAAATTTTAGATATATTGTTCTCTATGTCCTACCTTTCTGATGGATCTAATGTAATACTGAGCTCATGTTCCCAATGCTGCCTGTATGGAAACTTATAATTAAGATCCATCAGAAGCTCAAACAATATTGAAATTCGGCCCTTTGCAAATTTTCTAGTTTTACATAAAGACTCACACAGTGAGATATCACGGGCAATAATTTTAGTTTATTCTTAAGACTTCTTTCCATTTTAGCCTTAGCTACATGTTTAGAAATGGATTGCTCAAGTACTAGTAGCTAGTCATTCGAGACCTAAAAATTTCACTAAAACACAGGAAAGTCAAATATTTTAAATTTGTGCTTTTGAACTTGCTAAAACATTTGACTACTACCCAAAGGGTCAGTTCTGTAGCACAGCCCACTCCCTCCATGCACATGATAGCCCTCTGCTCTTCTGAGAGTGTCTGTTTACTGTCTCTGCTGGCCTAGATCCTTCCCCTCATCTCCATACCTAACCTTTTACGCATCAGTCAGGGGAGGAGGAAAGGGAAATGCTATAGAATGTAAATGAGTGACAGCTTTGAGCCCACTGGGGCTGCTGACATCACAACCAATTTTGTCGCCCTTTGGATGTTCTCACCATGCAGGTAAATAACATGCCTTAAATATACTATAATCTTATGGGAACATTTTTGATGAAATGAATGGTCTGACAACAGGGTCTTTTAAGTCTTTTTTAAATATTTTATTAAAACATAGTTGTTTAAACATTCAATTAGGCTCATTGGTTTATGACAGTTTACTATTTCAAGCAGGTAGTTTGACATGTAACTGTAAGGTTTTGAGTCATCTAATTTCTCTTCCTTGAATTTTAGGTAAACGAAACCCTGGAAAAGGTGGTTCATCTGACCATGAGGGCTGCTGGAATGATGACAACTGGTCATTTAGCCAAAGTGGGAATAGTGGGACTAAAAAACTGAAGAAAGTAAAACCAAAGGAGGAAGGGCCTGCTGGGTATGCATTCTGCATAAGAGTTTTCTTTACTACCTAATGCAGTGTTTTTAGTTATTCCCTGCAGTATCATCCACCTAAGCTAGTATGTTGAAGTCCCCAGACGACTGGTGTTATTATGCAGTACAAAGAAAATACCCACACTTTATGGAACTTGCCCAGGTCACTAGTTATAATCCTCATATTTTTGGGTTCTCTGGAAAAAAAAAAAAATCACATGGCACTGGTATGTTTATACAGTGAAATGTTTAATGCATTAGGTCAGTTTTGGCCTCACAATTGATCATTTGATTTTGTGGTGCATCTGATTTTTTTTTATTATGCATTGGCTGTCCATTGATTTCAGTGGGTTGCCTTATCACATCGCATGTTATGATATGCATTAATGTACCACAGAAATGTAAAGGATTACTGTGTTATTTTAAGTGCAGAAAACCAACACATGCGGTTTAAACGTTAGCAGAAACTAGTTTATAAAGCAAACAACTGATTGGTTCACATCTGGTGTTCTTTGTATTAATTTTCCAAATTGGAGGCTTTAGAAAGAAAAAAAAAAAAACACACTTTTTAAATGATTAACAGTAGAATCTTCTGTGTGGGTAATACTGACTGACAGTAAAAAGTAGACTACCTAACTTTACCTCATACATGTGGAGCTCCAGATTCATACTTTGTTAGATAATACCAAGTGATGGTAATACCTGTTAACGGCTATCTGTCGTGAAAGTTATTGCAAGTGTTCAAGCTGCAAGCCTCTTAATTTGCTGGTAACAAATGGAACACAGGGCAGATGTCATTTTTAGGGCACAAAAGGCTTGATTCACAAAGCTTTAACACAAGAATAGTTATCTGTATTTTAACTGTGTGACTGTAGCTTTCAAATCACATTAGCTTAACTGCTTTCCGACCGCCCTATAGCAGAAATACTGCTACAGGGCGGCACGGGTGCGCAAAGTCATGTATATATACTCGCCGGCACCCGGTGATTGCCGAGCATCTCCGACAGGGAGGAGAACTGTTTATAAACAAAACAGTTCTCCCTGTCAGCTCCTGCACACTGCTTTGAAAGTCTGTGCACAGCACAGCCATCCAAAGCAGTGTGCTTACTGTGAAGCACATGGACAAAGAACATAGTGAAACAGCACACAGTTAACCCTTTGATCCCCCTCATGTTAACCCCTTGATGCCCAGTGCCATTAGTAGTGTCAGTGACACCAAGTCAGTTCCCCCCAGCGTCAGAATGCCCGCCGCATTCCCGCTATAAGTTGCTGATCACTGCCATTACTAGTATAAACATTTTTAATTTATTTAAAATTGCAGTATATATACCACCATTTGTAAACTTTAACGTAAACCATATAATTTACATGTATTGGGATTTTTTTTTCTAACAAAGACATGTAGCCATATTGGCCTAAATTTATGACATAATCTGATTTTTTTTTTTTTTTTTGCTGGACATGTTTAATAGCAAAAAATAAAAAATATTAGTGGTGCGCCGAAATGAAAATTCTGGTGCTGAACCGATACCGAAAGTTCAGAATGCATGTGGCCGAAAACCAAACTGAAACCGAAATGTCTGCGTATGTGGGGATCGGGAGGCTCCAATTTTTTGTTTTCTACTTTTCATGTATTTTTTTTTTTACGTGATTTTATTGCTATCACATAGGGGACCAATAGTCCCCTATGTGATAGCATATGAGTGACAGGTCCTCTTTGTAGGGGGGAGGGGGGGGGGGGGCAGTGTGTGCAAGGAGGGGACAGGAGAGGAGTAGTATATACAGTGAGGGAGCAGTGTATACAGAGAGGTTCCCTCAATGGCTGTCTCTATATGTCAGTGCTGGTTTTTAAATGCAATTGCCGGCTTTTTTTTTCCTTCACTATAGTTCAGAGAATTAGCTGTCCCGGAGCGAAAGGAAACGTTATCTCGGGAAATAAACTAAAAGGAAACTTTGTTTCTTTTAACTCGAGGAAATAAACTAAAACTTTGTTTCTTTTAGCTGGGGGGAACGTGACAACTAATTCTGTGAACTATAGTGAAGAGGAAAAAAAAGTGGTAAAAAAAAAAAAAAAAACGGACAATTAAGTAACGCAGCGCGGTAACACAAAAATGGCTTGGGCAGGAAGGGGGGTAAATCCTCTGGAGGGTGAGCGGTTAAAATAATTGTCACTATGAAAACAGTTATCTTTTTCCTGGTGTGTAAGTTTTGGAATAAAGCATAAAGTTTTTTGAAAAAGATGGAGGAAAGTTAGTAATAAAAAAAAGTAACCTCATCAGCTAAGAAGGTAAAAAGCAAAAATTAGAACAATGAAGTATAAGTTAGTTAGGGATAGTTTGTAGAAATAAATGAGCCTGGCATGCACAGCTTGAATGTTAAGTGTTCATTAAAGCAGCCCTGTCACTCTGCCCCTATATGTGCAGTTTTTGTTCAGGTTAGCCATGGTCCCATAAACTCCTATTAGGTTGTGCATTTTTGCCATGTTTTCTGAAAGTGCACCAAGGATATACATCATGCAGTGCTTTTGGTGTGCTTTCAGGAAACGCAGCAAAAACGTGTCTATGGGACGTGTCTATTAGATGTCTATGGGACTGACAGTAAACCACACGAAAAGCACTCGTACAACTGTGTTGCAACTAAACCGCAATGCAGCAGTGTGAACCTGAAAAATGAGACCGCCTCCTTGGTAAAAAGAAAGATCGCTTATACCTTGCTGTCCAGCAAATGTGTTAAGTCTTCATTCTCTTGAAGAGCTGCAAGTTCCACTGCTATCTGATACTTCAGGTGTGGCATTTAGCCTGTGTCTCCCTGGTGGCTGTGGTTCCAGCTGGCCGCTATGTTATTATAGGGCACACACATGCAGATAGCAGCTGCACCCAGAGCTTTTCAAGAGTGATTTAACACACTGCCCACACACTCACTCGCCACTTTATTAGGTACTCCTGTTCAGTTGCTTGGTAACACAAATTGCTAATTAGCCAATCACGTGGCAGCAGCTCAATGCATTGGCAAGTAGACGTGGTGAAGACAACTTGCTGAAGTTCAAAACGAGCATGAGGAAGAAAGGGGATTTAAGTGACTTTGAGCGTGGCATGGTTGTTGTTGCCATACGGGCTGGTTTGAGTATTTCAAAATCTGCTGATCTGCTGGGATTTTTACGCACAATCATCTCTAGGGTTTACAGAGAATGGTCCAAAAACTATGCAGTGAGTGGCAGCTGTGTGGACGAAAATGCCTTGTTGAGGTCAGAGGAGAATGGGCAGACTGGTTGCTGTGACGTTCAGATGATGATAGGGTCAGAATTTGGTGTAAACCACAAGAAAGCATGGATCCATCCTGCCTTGTAGCAGCGGTTCAGGCTGGTGGTGGTGTAATGGTGTGGGAGATAACTTTCTTGGCACTAGTAAGGTGTACCTAATAAAGTGACCGGTGAGTGTAAAAGGTAAGTATTCATGAGCTATTATTTACATGGTTGTTCTGTCCCATAGTTTTTATTATCTTGGCCAAAGGGTTGCTTTAACATTCGGTTGAGAACTATTTAAAATGGAGTTATTGTCTGATGTAAATTAGAGATAATTATCTGCTATCACATTATAATACAAAAACGAAGCCATGCCCGTGTTATTATATTCTTCAGAAAGATGTTTTATTGTGCATTTGAAAATAGCAAACAAAATGACTGCTGGAGAACACTGACTTTTTGTTCATGCGACACTTGCCAATGAACCAACTGTTATACATTGCTTTATTTACAGTTTAGCAAAGCTGGAGGAGGAGTTTGAGAAGAAGTTTAATAGCCTTCCCCAATACAGCCCTGTAACATTCGACCGCAAAAATGCTTTTCAGAGGAAAAAGAAAAAGACTAATACTGGACAAACTGAGCAACAGAAAGGTAATAAATGTAATGTTCTCTATTGATGTCAAAAGAATTTAAAGCGGTTCTCCACCCACAAGGGGAAGTTTGGCTTTAAGGCTTTGTCCCCCACTCCCTGTTAAGGATTGGAACCTTTTGGGGAGGAGGGGGTACCGAAATTTGACAGGTGCCCATTCCACTTCTGCTGCAAATGCCTAGCCAATAAGAAGTGGAAGTTGTCCTTTTTTTAGACACACGACAGGTCCCAGAAGACTACGGGACCATTCACAGTGGGCACCCGGCTGTGTGTTAAGCCCCCAAGAGGTATCAATTTGGCAACTTTTTTCACCTTTCTACTTCTATTTATGCTTGGTTAACATAGTACATCTTTTTTGCTTGCTACAATGCTGTAATAATCAGAGCATCTTGAGACATTGGATCCGCATGTTTCTATGATTGTGTGGTTAGTCCCGTTATATGGTAGCGATAATCGCAAATGGTCACATATGTAACATGAAGTATCTCAAGACAACCCTCCATCCTGATTTCCTGAAACTGCTAGACTATTCCACTTTTCAGTTGAGCTTTTAGCTGTGAGATGAGACTCCCACCATAAAATTGTCAGTACGGTGTTAAATGATAATATAAAACAATCGTGCTTGTTTGAAAGTTTTGAATGTATATTGTCCAAAGAACCTTAAAATGTGGAACTGCAAAGATCCTGCAATGGTTGTAAAGCTTTTATAATATAGTCTCTGAAGAGCAATATGAGGTTTATTCAGGCAAACAATTATATATTTAAGTAAAAATCTTGGTAGAGTCTCTATTCAGTACAATAATACACCTATAGATCATCAAAGCAGTTGATGATATACAAAGAATCAGTGCTTTATCTCCAACTTATATAATGCACCAGACAGTTCGGGTGAGAATATACAAAGTCCCCTAAATGTGTGTTTACTTGCATTCAAACTATAACAGTTTTTAACCACATTCCATCGCTAGGACATACCTGTACATCTTCGGGAACCATGTTTATACCAGGATCAAGGCTGCAGCTATGATCCAGGTATCAAAATTTGCAGCCAGGGATAGGCTTTCATGTAAAGGTGATCCAAGTGGCTCTACAGCTGCCCATTCACTTTTACAGGGCACAGAAGGGGGCCACTCGCCGCCGTTCCCATGCTCTCCTGTTCCACTGGGGAGCCTGGGACCTCTACACTTAGTAAGGATGGCTGCAAACAGAGAGGAACATGCCTTCGCCTTTTGACAAATGAAGCTGGAAGCAATGTGCATTACATCATTTCCTGTTTTGGTTGTTTGTTTACCGGTCTGTACCGGTCAGATAGGCAATCAATCTAATCTTAGTTTGATCAGCTGCCTTTGAGGGCAGAGGAGAGATCAGAGGACTTATAGACTCCAGATCTCTCAATAAAGTACACCTGTCATGTTGTTATAACATGATAGCAATAAAGTTAAATATCACAAACTGTGTAAAAAAAAAAAAAAAAAAAAAAAAAAAAATATATATATATATATATATATATATATATATATATATATATATATATATATATACACACACATACTTTTAAATAAAATAAAAAAAATAACCGCTTGTGAGCAATAATTGCACCAGAGCTCAAGTTTAATTCTGAACTGGTAACCTGTAAAAGCTAATAATCTCCTATGGGGATTTTTAATACCGTAGTTTGTCGTCATCATTTCATATGTGTATATGTGTGCAAGATTTTAAACCCGGACATGTTTGGTACCTATTTACTCAACGCAACATCATCTTTTTATTTTACCAAAATGTGGTATTATATTGTGTTTGTGTGGACAAAAATCCATTTTAAGTGTATTTCTTTCCTGAAAATATAATGCGACAAAAAATTGCAACAACCACTATTTTATCTTAAGTAAAGGAATGCGCTAAAACCACAAACTATTCCTAATTTAGTGTAAAAACATTAGTGCAAAAGACATATCTATTCTCAATTAATATTAAAAAATATCAAAATTATGTGCAAAACTTTTTTTTAGTGCATAAGTAATTTAAATTAAATTTGTGAATATAAAAATTGTCCAATTTTGAATTTCTTCAAATGTCCAAACAAATCCTTTTCAAATTCAAGTGCTCTCAAAGAAATTGTGCCAAAATCCACCACCAAAGTAAAGTTGGGTAACTCACCAGAGTTTTTTACTGATCTAGAGATTGATCAGCATGGAGCTCTGGTGAGTTACCCAACTTTACTTTAAGTTATAGCACTAAGAAATTTATTTGGTTTCTTTGAGGTGGAATTGCTGCTTTAAAGTATTAAGGGTGTGGTGCTTTTATTACACTTGGGAACCACTATTTTATGTTCTAGGGCCTCTGCTTTCCAGAATTGTTTGGGGGGGGGGGGGGTTAAAAGTAATTTTTAAGCACAAAATGCTGATTTTAAAAGGTGTATGAGAAATGTCAGAATTGGCCTGGACTGGAAGTTGTTAAAAAAAATTAATTTCCAAGCACATATACACTATATGTGCTCAAAACGTAGTACTCTGTATTCAGTGCCAAGACAGATCCACAATGGTATATGCAAGTTGCCATCTGTATATGGTTAAATATTGGCAAGGAGCACAGTTTAAGGGGTAAGTCTTCATATGTATGATCCTGCAAAGCAATCAGTGCAGGCCAGCAATATATGGGCTTATAAGATGGCGAAGGTGAGGTATGTCAAAGAACGCTGGGTCCCCTGATATGGGGAATGGATCAGGAGCTCCTAATCTGGGACAGCCAATACACAAATACCAACTCTCAAGCTGGCCATAGATTAATTGAAATTTGGCAAGTTCAGCAGGGACTGGACAAATTTCCATCCATCTATGGCCATTCCCATTCTTGAGTAGTTGATCTAACAATTGACATCCCAGGAACAGACTTGTTGGAAAATGTTTGTTCAATCAGCGCTGCACCACTGATAACTGTATTCTGACAGCTGAGGAATCCCCCACTGTCAGAATGCAATGGCACAGTAGGCAGGATTTCTGTATCTATCTTGGTTGTGCAGATGGGGAAATCCATGCAGTTTTTTAAATCAGCCCACTGCCTGATCGAAAAAAAAAAAACGGACCCATGTATGGCCTGCTTCAGATTAAAGAGTACATGATTGGATAAAACTGCAAGGCAAAACTCTCTACTGATTAGAGGGACTCAGGGGCATTACATTGCAGAGTGCCAAAGCTCTGACTTCACAGCTGGAGTCAACTACTTGTATACAAAGCTCTCCAGCTCCCATCTCTGTGTATCTACTATGATATATGTTTTATCTGTATAAAAAGAAAAAAAAAAAAGCTTGCCCTGCACAGGAACATACAAGATTACTATTTGCTCTGAATTTTTGATATTTGTATGTTGTCTGTCCCAAATCTAGGGCTGTCAATCCACTCTGAAACCATGTAACTAAATGTGTTTGAACCATGGTTTATTTTTTTTTTATTTTTACAGTTAATTGAAAAACATTTCTAAACAGAAAGTGTTATATTTGAACTTCGTTAGCATATCGTAATTGGCATTGCAATGATGTGCCCAGTATTCGCACTGGAGAGTGTTGTCATTTGCATGTTCCTTTAATTTAGTGCTATATGAACACGTCAATGAGTTTTCCTATATCTGCTTATTACAGGTGCTATACAGTCTCAAAAAAAGTTATTTCACAAAATTGTAAGCAAATACAAGCATAAAAAGGAGAAGCAAAGCACACTGGATAAAGGTATTTCAGCATCTAATGTACAGTTTATTAGGAACTGCACTATTGTCATATGATTTACAAATCTTGCTGTTTAATTATGAAACACCAGTCAATATGTTTAGTGAAATCATACCAGAAGCATTGTATGTAGAAACCTTGAGAGCTCTGGCTCTGTAAGTGCATGTCCCTTTTCTCAGGGCTTGTCAGTATGATCTACAGGGAGACACTTGAGTCTGTGGGAAGGGACAACATAACACTTGTGAAGTTGAACTTTACATTATTCATTCAGTCTAAGGAATCCCTATGGAGCACCATTGCAATGTGGAACAAAATAAGTTTATTCTAAGATATTTTAAGGTGTCTGCTATTCTAAAGCAGTTCATATTCATGAGTGAACTGATCACTAGTGCTAAGGCCACATCTATCATCTGCTAGTACAGCAATGCTCTTTAGTTTGCCGTTATAGTAGACTGAAATGTTTGCATAAATAGACAATGGAAGTCTGAGAATACAGAGTATTTTTGCTTTGGTTGGATAGGAGTTAGAGCCTACAAAAGTTAAGGTAGGTGTCAGTGCAATTTGGTACTTCTAGAGCTGTAAAGCTGTGAGTGTCAGAACTGAATACGTGACCACAAATGCAAGTGCAGGTTTACAGTATTTCTGTTCCTTTCTATATAATCTATAATTTACTATACTTTGTCTTGTAGCCATAGAAGACAATAACAATAATGATAACCCAAGGAGCAGTTCCAATTCAGTTCCTCACATTCCAGAACCTACTGCAAATCATGAACCTCTGGTTGGAAGTCAGAAGAGAAAAGCAAGAAAAACTAAAATTACACATCTTATTAGGTCTTTGGATTGTCAGTCTTCTTCCTCTGTTAAAAGTCAAGGTGAGAACATTTAAAAAAATTTTTTATTTGTTTGGAGTTTTGATGATCCAGAACTTAGATTAAAGAGATCTTCATATTTAAAAGCTAGAAAATAATAATGTATCTAAATATCAATATTTAATAAATTTTTTGCACCATTCTCACTGCAAGCTGCAAACACCAAAGGGATAAAAGCTTCCAAGAACCAATAAAGTGTGCTTAACTTATATGACGATATATAAAAAATGTGTATAAATGGTCAACTGTGTCTATATTTCCCACAGTAAGTGTATCACTTTAAATAGTGTGTATGTATAGCCACAAAATATGTGTATGTTGCCACAAATAAACAACAAAACATTGAAACCATTAATTAATGAAAAATGTCCATCTGTAAAAATTTGCCCATCCAGTAGCAATGCTTCGAATACATGCAAGGAAAAGTGTGTTCTACCAAAGAGAAGGACCTCCACTGAACCCCAAAAGGTGTCCGCTCACCTTAATATTTGACCCTCATCACTAAAGTCACCTGCGCATAACACTTTTTTAGGATCCAGGTGGAAACAAAACTCCTCCAGGCAGCAGAAGCCTTCAGCCTAATTATACTACCATCCACGGCTGATTCTTGAAGAATTCTATTTGGCGCAAGCATGGTTAATTGGATCCCACAATTATGCTCTCAAATAAAATAAAAAACAAGCCATATTGTTCTGTGTTTGCTGTTTATTAACCACTTGCCCTCCAGAGTATTTACCCCCCCCCCCCCCTTCCTGACCAGGCCATTGTTTGCGTTTACGGCACTGCGGTACTTTGACAATTGAATGGTCATGCACCCAAATGAAATGGGTCCTTTTTTTTCTCATAAATAAAGCTTTCTTTTGATCACCTGCGCTTTCTTTTTTTTTTTTTTTTGCGCTATAAACAAAAAAATGGTGACAATTTTGAGAGAAAAAAAAACCAATATTTTTGACTTTGTTATTAAACATGTCCAATAAAATAAATTTAGGGCAAAATGTCCCAATACATGTAAATTCATTGGTTTACGTGAAAGTTATAGCGCTTACAAATGGCGGTGTGTATATATACTGGAATTTTTTTAAATTTTTACTGTTAATGGCGGCGATCAGCGACTTATAGTGGGACTGCGGTGGGCATTCTGACACTGGGGGGAACTGACTTGGTGTCACTGACATCCCCACAGACACCAATACAGTGATCAGTGCTAGAAGGGGGAAAAAAAAAAAAAAAGCGCTGACACTGTACTAATGGCACTGGGCAGGAAGGGGTTAACATGTGGGGCGATCAAAGGGTTAACTGTGTGGTGTTTCACAATAAGCTGTGTGTGTGTTTTTTCAGCTGTAAGCACACTGCTTTGTATGGCTTTACTATGCAGAGCCATACAAAGCAATGTGCAGGGGCTGACACGGGAGAGAACTGTATTGTTTACATACTGTCCCCCATCGGTATTACTCAGCGATCAACAGGTGCCAGCGAGTAATCACCAGTCGGTACCCTGGTGATTGACAGCTGAGTCCGCAAATGGCGGCACAGGTAGGACCCTTACCTGGAGCTGCAAAATCATGTATGTATACATGATTTTGCTCACCCGTGCCGCCCTGTAGCAGCATTCCTGCTATAGGGCAAATGGGAAGAGGTTAAATACAAATTAAAAATGCATATGCATAGTGTTGCAGACAAAATCACTTTGTACAAAGTCTGCAATGCCACACTGAAGATAAGCAAGAGGAAAGATCGCTTCACTCAGTAAATAGTCAGCTGCCCGAAAATGTCACATTTGACGAAACATGTTGGGTGATGCCTGAAAGTATGAGGAAGAGCTGGCTGTGTACTGTGATTCTATCTGCAACACTATGTGAGAGCATTGTAAATGTTTAGCTGTTTATTTGTGCAATGTGCACATAATATTTTTGGCTAGCTTTACACACTTTTTAAAGTCATACTGTCCTTATGGGAAATATAGACACAGTTCAATATTTATACACATTTTTATATATTGTGATATAAGTGCTGCATAATTTATTTAATGTATCTTAAGTATGTTAATATCTACCTCTGCAAAATATTGATAATATAGGCTCTGCAACTACAGTGGTTAACAGAAAATGCTTGTTTGTTAACCAGAATATAATAGAAAAATTACATTGTATGGTCATAAAGTCCTGGTAAAATGAAGGTGAAGTGATAAATGTATACAAGCACAAATATCCATTGCTTGTGCTCTTGTTTTGTTTCATATTTATAGATGGAAAGATTCCCACAAATAGCTGCAACATGGAGGGAACTTGCCGGGCAGAACTGACAATCACTGAAGAAGCTGGCATTGCACAGAACTGCAGTATTACCCAGGATATGCCGGCTGTATCTGCTTTCTTTAGTCTAGCTGCTCTGGCTGAGGTAGCGGCCATGGAAAATGTTCACAGGTTCGATATATACCCATGCTACTAATTTTCCTCTTTGTCTCTCTGGTAGTTTGCCATGAACAGGAAGAGTTAGCTTGAGAAGCACAGAGAGGTTTTTTTGTGCTTTTTTTTTAGGCTGAAAGAGCAAACCCATGATTCTTTCAGACATCAGTAAATTTTCAAGGGGATTCCTTACCTGTAAATTCCTCTGAACCCGATTGGAAGTTAAACATTTAATGCAAGCTTACTGGATTAGCATGAAATGATCCCTTTGGTAAATTACCTCATTGGTGCCTGATGTAAAAAGATTTTAAAAAGAATCATTTTAGTGTTATGTCTGACTTCATTGCTAAACAGGGCAGAAGGAAATACCTGTTTGCAGATGAGCAACTCATCGTTGACCACTTGGCCTTTTTTTTTTCTGCTGTCACTGAATTATGTAAATGCTAGAGAATTTCTCTTTGTCATTGTTGGGGCGGTGCCTTGCTCATCCAGCCAGCAAAGGAGCAACGGCCTGGAAAGAGGTGGGTATTTATTTCACATCCCAGAACACAGGGTATCTTCTAATCCACTACAATAGGGTTATACTACTACCTTCAGGTCATTGGACACTGGCAATATAATGCCAGAAATCCCTTCCCAAGAATAACTCTTCCCAGTTAGGCAGAGCTCATAATGTCAGGTGATTGGACACTGGCAAGCTTTTAAGAACACTCCTCCCTGGGGTGCTTCCACTATAAACCTAGCCCATTCCACTTATTTGGATCTGTTGCCTATGGATTTCTGTTAAGAGGGATGGTACCCAGACCCCTGTACTGGACATGCAGAGACAGCCTGTATGTAATGTTGTAATGATGCCCTTCGGCATTGTATTCTGCATAATGGGACCCTGTGCAATTATATGCTGTGCTTTACAGGTCAAGGGTGGTGATCCCCATCTGGGGGTCGTCTCCCTGAAGGCCTTATCGGCATCTGCGTGCTGAGATGGGTGACGTTTGGACACCTATGGGGGCCCTGCAGTGTGCAATGGGTAATGCCCTGGTGGTTACCCGTAAGATGACTGTGCCTGGGGAAAGGGGGTGGGGGGTTCTTTTTCACCGCAATATCTCCTGAATTTTGGAGTCTGCTGTTTCTAAACCAAAGTGCTCCCCCTCCCTCCAGCAGCAGTGCCACCATGCCATTTTCTTTTACATTGTTTGCATTTTTTGTTAATGCTGTTGTCCCAGCCACACTGACCCCTGCATAGAAAGCAGTGGTGTTATGGGGTGGTCTGGCCTGTGTTTTAGCTCTAATGGGTAAGGTGGAGCTTTCCCTCCACTCCCACCCCCACCCCACTCTGTGGATGACATCTGCACTGCACACATAGGTGCCGTGGCTGCCGGCTACATCCCTAGGAGGTAGAGCTTGCTGACAACTACCATATTTGTATTCCTTTCACAAAGCTGATTGTTGTCCCACAGCACCAGAGACTGATACTTTGGACAGAACATTGGGCACAGTGAGCATATACTGTATTAAAAAACTATTGCTACTGGTGCGTAGAGGGAGTGGATCACTAGCAAGGGGGCATGGACTTTTTGTTTTTCGTCTACAGTCTCACCCCTATTCCTTTGGGGGTTGTGGTGTTGGTTTTATTCCCACCAGCCTTTCTCAGCTGACTTGGACTGCTTTTTCAGACTAAATCTACTCAAGTCAGCTGGCAATGTCTCAGTGAGGGTAGAGAGCGGGGGAACATGGAGGAGAAGATTCAGAAATCCTATTATTGTGCAGGGAAGAACCTGGACACAGCTCCCCTTACAGTATGTCCCCTAGTGGTCAGTTAGTTCCAGGCTCTGATTCCCTTCTCTTGTGCAGTATTTCCACTACCTTTTGGGGCACCTTCCTCCAGTTCCTTTGTGTCAAAGGAAGAATTTTCACCATGAGTTTTCCAGAGTCTTTTCTGGTTCAGTGAAATGCTCTTCTTCCCCTCCACCCTTCTTGCTGACGGAAGAGGAACCCACCGAGTATCCACTAGGAAAGAGATGGAAGGAGAAGCAACTCTTCCGCAAAATGGGGGAGCAGATAAGCAGGAAACTGCTTTTGACGAATTCCAGGGTCCGGTTTTATTTCAGACTCAAAGGACCTTTGTGGGGTTCCTTGCAGAAGTGGTACAGAAAAAAGGGATGTTGTCACTCAGTGCTGTTTTTTCAAAGGTTAGAGGATTTGGATCATGACATCCATCTCCCCATCCCCAGCCTTTCCTGTACATCCTCATCGAAAGAATGTGTTGTACATGGACTGGGCTCACCCTGAAAAAAAGGTGTTTGTTCTGTCAATATTATTTGCTCAACAATAACCAAAAGTGAATTCACTAACAAATTGAGCATGCCTGCGGTGGATCTTGCGGTTTCTTATCTCAGTAGTATCCTCACAGTTCTAGTGGACAAGACCCTGGTATTTAATGATGCTTCAGACAAACATCTAGATGCCTTATCTAAAGGCTCTTTTGCTCTTGTGGGGGCTGCCCTACAACTGGCGATTGCAGCTGTAGGAGTGTGTCAGAGCCTCAAGGTTTGGGCTGGTCAGATGAAGAGAGAGAAAGACACTAACCACAGAAATACTGAGTTTAGTATGGATGATGGATGACTTAAAAGATTCTTTCCAACTACTTTCTCATCTGGATGTCTTTTTGGTTCACATACGCAGGATATTATGGCTAAAGTGTTGGTCAGTGTAACTGACTTGTAAGAAGTAGGTTAACCCATTCCTGCCAACAGTACGCGTATATGCAGCTTCACTGGACTGAGCTCTTTTCTGTAGGGCCGCATATATGCGCATCTGTCTTTGTGCTGGATGTGTCGCACAGTGGGCTCCCATAATAATGATTGGTTATCACAGTGATCAGTCACTGTACAGCCCACCTCTGTATTTACATTCCGAATGGAGAGATACATTGTATCTCTCTTGAGTAGATACCTTGTATCTCTCTCTTTACAGGATGATGTGTAAACAAACAAATGCGTGAAAATAAAAAATAAAGAAATATTAGCTAGATCAGGGTTTGATCTAGGTCAGTGCCAGGGTTAATGTTTGGGCCAAAGGTCATGGTCAGTATTTTTTTAAATAAAACTTATATATATATATACTTGTGAGCTACTATGGTGATTGCCTAAAATGTTCCAATTGTTTGTCTTAATAAAGTGAAAAAATAAATGGAATAAAATTAAAATATAATACACCTATGGTTCGCTGGCACTCACCTACTCATTAAATAGTGTTCTGTGACAAAAAAGTGAATATACTAATACTGCCGCGCTCCTGTATATATTAGCTCTGATGATTAGTATTGTGTTTACAAACCAATTGATGAATAAATATATAAAAAATTAACTGTAAACAATATATATTCTTATATATGGTGCAAGAATAAACATCTATTGCCTATAAGGACCATATAAAATTAAAACATAATTGTGCTAGTGGTAATTGGTGAATTCTAATAGTGAGCAAAAATCAATATATATAAACGTGCTCTTAAACAGTCCTCTTTCAATATAAATTGCAAAAATTGCAATATAAATTGCGCTCACCTCAAGTTTTGCCTTAAATAAAGGCAAAACTAGCTGTTTGTCCTTATAAGACTGATGGACTGCTCCTCCTGTATGAGATTTTCCAAATGGCAAACAGATAGTTGTAATTAAATCTTAATCCACCTGGGGTCTCTGCAGTGAGTGTAACTGATGCTTGTCAGGAATGGATGGTTGGATGGATATCTCCCTTATTTCCCCTCCAGGGGTCTCCTTCCTCCTGTGTTGATCTTTCTCCAGTATATCACGGATGGATTATATAAGGAAAAAAGAAACCATGGTGCCTTATCTTTTTTAAAGATGTGCTTTATTGCTGTATACCATTCACAATGTTGAAGTTTGCAGTGAATTAAAGTAGTGTCAGCATGGCCTGCAGTCTTGTTTGCCTGGGGGCTTGTTTGCCGTTGTTTCGCTGCCCTCAGTGCTTTGGGAAATTTCTATCATAACCGATATGAAGATGCCCTGTGACCTTAGATGTACGATAAAGAAAATGGGATTTTTAGTTTACCTGTAAATGTCTTTTATTGGAGCTTATCATGGGACACAGGGATCACACCCCCCTCCTTTGTTTCCTGACTTGCTAAAAAACTGAAGCTGCCTAACTTGGATGGGTTATGCCTGGGAGGGGATTTCCTTCTTTTTTTGCAAGTGTCCACTTGAAGGTAGAAGCATAACTTTATTGTATTGGATATGAAGATACCCTGTGTCCTGTGATGTACTGTGATGTTTACGAGTAAACCATAAATCCCATTTTTTTTTTTACTAACCTTGTAATTCCATTGCTAGCAGTTTGGCACCAGCAGCAGGATTACAAGTGTGACGCATCCCTAACAGTCACACCCCTGATTTCCAGTTAATTAAAACAGAAGAACATGAGATTTGTGAGAGTTGTCTCCCACTGCCTAAACAACTTATGACCTGCCAGAATGTCACCTGACGTATGGAAATAAAAGGAGTTATGGAACGAAAAACCACCCACGCTCCGGCAACTACTGTTTTATTTGGGTTTGTGTGCTGCCTGTGTCTTTTTGATCATATATGTGGCACACATATGATGTGAATAATATTTACTGGGACCTGTCACGAGACAAGATTGTTGTTGTCTCCTGAAACTGCTAATTGCCTGGCTGTCATGCTGACCCTTTGGCTTCAAAACTTTGAGTCACTGACTTGAAATAAATATGCAGAAGATTGCAGATAATGATTTATTACCTTTTCCAAACTAACTAATCTGCATACTTTTTCTGGGTTATTAATGCAGAAGGCATTAAAGCATTTGTACGTTGGCATAATAGGAAGGCAAGTAGTATTTTCTGGTGGTCCAATGGCAGCCCATCTATTTCTTTAACAACAGGTTTATTTTAAAGAATAGTAAAAAATAAATAGATTCTGGTCCCCTGCAAGTTAATGTTATAATGTCATCCTTCTGGGTTCACAGGCATCAGCCATATGAATGGCCAAACTCTCAATGGATAGCACACTCGAGTATGCCGTCCATTCAGAGCACAATGCACAGGTGTTGTCACCGGCTGCAAAACATGCAAATAACTTCTTTCCGCTAGGCCTATAGTAGTATGATGGCGCGAGCTCTCCTGTTCTATGATGTCCTCTCCAGAATGCGTCTCGTGTGGTGGACACAGCGGATGACAGATCAGTATACCAGGCCACTGTTGGTACCATGTGATCATTGTGACCAATCCCAGCAGATCAAATGGCAATTGTACACAATTGATGGCTTCTATTCATATCCATTTATTGCATACTATTGTGTTACTTGCTATGATTGGTCACAGATATCACATGGTACAGACTTGGCCAATCAAAGCCCATCTGTACCATGTGTTTAGCTGCGACCAATCACAGTTAATCACAACAATACACACTGAATGAATGGACTCCTTCACAACAAATGGTTTCTTATAACAATGATTATCACTGTTATAGGGGATCATAGTGTGCTAAAAAAAAAAAAAAAAAAAGTCCTGATTACCTCCCCAGAGTAGAATAGTGTAACTGTGGTAACACTGTACTGCCCTGGTCAAAGTATGTAAAAAAAAAAAAAAAAAACTAACCAAAAGTATGACTTTTTTGAAATCTACAGCAGGGATCTGTAATACAGTATGTGTGACTGTTCAAAACATTAATAAAGTGGGCTCAGTGAAATTATTTTACTCTACTAATTCTACATTCTAATTCTGTTTTAACATAAAATCTGCAATTCATTAATTCATAGCCTGTTTTATTCACCCTGTACCGACCAAAAAAAAAACAAATCTGAATGATATTAGCTTTCTGAACTTGAACAACTGAATAGGATTGTTCTTCTGTTTTTTTTCTGTAGGAGTCCTAGGTCCACCCATTCAAGAGATGGCCAGAAGAAAGAAATGCCCAAGTCTGCTGTGCTCATCTCCTGTGCTGACCAATAAAGCATCACTTTATGTCAAGACTTTTCTCCCTATTTAAATCTAAGCCTTGAGCCTTACTTAGCAAGGCAGAAATGATCCATATAATGGGCAGAAATAAGTATGGGACCCTGATTTCACTTGAAGCCAGAAGCTGTCCGTGGGGGCTTTGCCCAGAAAGCTTGACTTTTTCTTGGTCTACTAATGGAAACAAATGGTTTGATACTCACGCCAGCTTTCTACTAAGGCTAACATTGAGATGACGAGAGAAGGAGGCCATGTGTATTGTGTCTCCATGTAGATGCTGTTGCAAGCAGCAGAGCGTTATACTAGTTTCATATTCTAGTTATAAAAAGAAAAAAATAGAAAAAAATACTGATGCACTGCACTAGTTAATAGCTATTCTTGGTCATTTTTGTAAATGAGGATTTACGTTCCAAAAATGGTTTATATAATAGTTTATGCTTACATTTATATTAAGACTGAGTTTAAAAATGTTCCAGGAAGACTTAAACCGTAGGCTCAGGTGTACCATTGTTAGGGTTGTCGTGTGTCTGGTCTGCAACCCCTTGTCTTCTGCACTTCCAGTAACTTTTCTGTAGACTACAGGTCCTGCTTCATATTTTAAGCAGCATGCCACGTGCCATAAATACAAGCTTCTATGCCACCTAATATTTCATGCAGCTCAAGAAGGGATGTTAAAGTCCCAACTGCCACTAAAATACCAGATGTGTATGTTCTGTGAGCTCAGTTACAAGCCTTAATAGATATTGACTAGCTGTCTGTGTGGCAACAACTTCTTAGCCATGACTTTCTCATCGTTTTATTACTTAAAGTAAAAAACACAGCATTCCTATGTAAAACTGCATATATTCTACCTATATATGTGTAAAACGTCAGACAGATATTTTATGTCACTGGGCAGACCATTGGATCATGGCTTCCTCTAAAATACCAGCTTCTGGGAAATTTTGCATACAGATGTACATTTTTTGCCAATTGTTTTACATAGGAGCAATTAGTGTTACTGTTAATGCTACCATATAACTGGTGGATATTTTGCTCATATTTGATGGTATTTAGCATTGTGGCATACCTTTGCTGCTTTTTTTTTTTTCCATAGTTAATTTGTAAAGTTATACTATACTTTAGCTGTTGACTGATGCTTACAGATCAGGTATAGCTAGTGGCCAGGAAAGTAAAGGATTAACTATGCACCATTGTTGAAATTGGGGGGGGGGAGTTTTATTTTTGTTGTTTTTTTTGTTTTATATACCCCTTAAGAATTTGTTTTCTTGTTGGCTGCCTTTTAGACTATATTCAAATTAACTGATAATGTTAAATTAATTAAATTAACATTAGAAAAGCTCTTGCGTAGTCTAATGGCCGCAAGCCAGAAAAAAATATTATTCTAGTTCTCCAGTCTATTTGGCACTAAACATGGATGGATATGAATTGTATGACTAGAGTAAATTACTGCTCTTAAGTTAGCCTGGCCACATGCACTATTATTATATTGGTGCCGATTTACTCAAGCCAGTTCAGTACTGGTGGGTTTCCAATACTTCCAACGTGACCAAGAATTATCATATAATTCACATTAATTTCAAGCATACTTGGGGTTATGTTTCTGCATGGCCTCTATCTGGTGGCTTGATCAGGTTTTCGTCAGGTGACTTAGCTGAACCCAATAGGATCTGGCTGCTATTTTTAAGCACCAAACAGCTGGATTTTGTTTAAAGGAATAGCCCATAATATTCATGACCTAAAATGTAACCTGTTGCTGGATGGTGTCTGAATATGTATATTCCTCCTAATATGGGAAACTTTAATTTAAAAGCAATGGCAGGTGCTCACGGATCCAGTGTAGACTGTTGTATTCAACAAATTGCAAGTACCCCAAGGAAACGTGAAGTTATCTCCTTTCAATGTACAGTAATAGCACTGTTTGGGTTCCTTTTGCAATACAACACACAACACTGACCCAAATTTTGCTTTGTGCATACTTAGTAGAAAATATTATAAAGTATTTATGAAATTGTTTTTTGTTTTTATTTTGTTTTTTTACAATTGGCTTTTTTCCACTTTATGTGATGCAGCACAATCTTTTATAGAGTTTACTAGTTTCTGTGAAGTGTTGCATTGTGCTGTTTTTTATTATGATCTTATGAATTTTACAAATAACTTTATTTTGTTAGAGCAATAAGCAACTCTTTATGATTACAAAATAATTATTTTTTCGTTACAAGGGCAGCAAAATTACCCCTGGTATTCTTAGCTTTTGATTAGACCACTTGCTTCACTAGTTGAATATTATTAATTGGCTTTCTAAATGCTGTTTTATATACTTATACAAGATCTTAAGGTTTATTTCTATTGTGCCCAGTGTAAAATACTCAAGTATTTCTTGTTGCTATTAAGAGTCCATAGACACAAAAGACCTGATTTATTAAGATGTGAAGGTGAAAATGTACTCAATAATTGAAGATTTGCTTGGAAAATTTAGAAATCTTAATTGTGCCTAAACAGTACACTGAAAATGTACCTTTTTGACTTGAACTCCTACTGAAAATAACTTGGTACTTGCTTGTATGAGAGCATGCTTGGGTACTCCTGTGCCTACATTGTGAGTTTAAGGTACTGCTGCCTTTGACTGCTAGTCTGAGGAGATTTGTAGTGAGGTTTGGTGAAGTCAATAGTGAGCTGTTCACTGTTCTCCTTGCTGGAGGCTGTGATATAAGGGACACAGAAGCCCTGCCTCTACCAAGTTGGTGGTCTCCACAAAGGAACACTGTGCACAACAAGGTTAGTCAGTAATAGGAAAAGGAGACTACAGGCATTACTGGTGACTAGTTCATCATCCTCTGCCTGTCTTTATTTATAGTTCCATTTCATTGTAATTAAACCAGTGATTTCTTCAAATAGCCAGTTATCTGCAGAGGAATTAAAGAATTTCTGCTTCACATGATTGAATGTTTGAGGGAGGCACAGGTACATGTCGCTGTATATCACACCTTCGTAAATGAGGCTCATCAGATGTGGGTCACTGTGAGATCTTTATAGACAAATGTAGGTAAATATCAGTTTATCACTGGATGGTTATTTTCTTGATCTCTAAGCAGTATCAAATTTGTCAGAATGGTGGAGTTACCCTTTTGTTGTGTGATAGACAAGAGAAAGTTCCAGGGCAACTAGTTCATCTAACAGAGGGACAGGAACCCTGTGTTTTTTTTGCTAGGGGGCCCAGAAAAGATGGTAAACCACTCCTGTGCACTGCCTGAATATGATATAATATATTTAACAGACACTCAAGATTACCTGCTTGGTATGTTTTTAAACTGACTGATTATAGCTAGAATGTTTTTAGACACTTGGCACCTTTTATTAGCCATCCCTGTTAGGGACATTTGGAGATGTTTTGAATTATAAATTCAATCTTATAGTGAAGGAATGGTCAAGTCAGCACAGGTTTTAAAATGTAGATGCATTTGACAAGGTCTCTCACTTAACAGATACCTATATTTAGCCTATCTATTGAAAGTGTTGTTACCGGTCATACATGTATAAATATATATGTACAGCCAGTTTTCTTCCTGCTGACAAAATAGTGTGAAGACTTTGGACCTTATCTCTTTAGAAACCACTTTGTTTGCGGAACAGCTGTAATTGTGCACCAAGTACTAATGAGCTTTTTTAAACGCTACAACATCCCTTGTACTATTTAGCACTTTTAGCACTACATTTTGGTTGCTGTTTGAAATTTGCCACTTCCTGAATCCTAATTAGCTACAATCCAAAAATCTATTCGTTTACAATTATTAATAACCCCCCAGCACCTTAACAATGGTACAAGTGTATTTCTTTCCAGAATTCCCTTATATATATATATCTATTTTTGTCTGAATGATTCCAAATAACATTTCAAAATTTCTCCTAGATATTTCTGTATGACTATGGTACCTTTGTAAAAGGAAAGAAAAAAAAATCCTTATTTTTATGTGAATGATTGAGTTACTAAACCTAAGTGGCTTTCCCTTAGAGTAGTGTAGTGACTGTTTTCTGAAACTTTTGTAGATATTGCTTAATTTTTAAGCTGCTAGGCACTAAAAGTAGCAGAAATCCTGCAAAGCTTTAGTTAGATTTTGAGATATTTGCCATTTATGGCGCTGAATAAGTGATTTTCAGTAGTTATATTTGCTAATGCACTGAATCTTTTAGGCAAGGCAGTGGTATAATCAGGTAACAAATGATTAGCACAGAATTTCAACATTTTACACCATATCCTGCTTTGTGTGTTTGTATATGTCACATGTCTCTCTCTTGTAACCCAGAGCTGGTCTGAGACTAGAAGATTTCCATGCGGGGATCACACTCATATAAACCTCTCATTATACCTTTTTAAAGGAGAGCTCCAGGCAAAACATAAAATTCAGCATTAACCACCATTTTGTGTATCTGTTCCTTGGATGCTCCATTTAGAAGGAAAAAAATATTCCCTGAAGTTTTGGGATCACAACATAAACAAATCCTGCTTCTGACAGCACCCTGTGTCTGTGATTGGTTCCAGGCAACAAAATTGCCATGACAAATAGTGCATCTCGTTTTTACAGTAAACCCTTTCCTATCAATAGTGCAAGTGCACCTAACCAAACATTATGCAAGTTCATGGATTATCCTTTTATGGCTGTAGTTCTCCTTTAATGCAGCAAGACGTCATCTAGTGACTTTTCATCCATTGATCCAATTTGGCTATCCTTGCTCTGTATCATCTTAAGGGGATTCAAACCTCTTATTTTTATTTTACTATTGCAGCTAGTTTAAATATTACAGATTGGCAATTTCTTGATGACTTTTCATAGTTTCTATGAAAGCTTTGGTTAGAATAAAGCTGTTTTTAGTGTTTGATGTGGCACATAACTTTGTTCATTTTCTATGCTCTATGTACAATCATTTTACCCCATCCTGGAGCTAAGCGATTTATCTTTAACAGGTGAGATAGCCCTTACAATATTGTATCCTTAAGT